TATCCATCTATATATCTATCCATCTATCTATCTATCTATCTATCTATCTATCTATCTATCTATCTATCTATCTATCTATCTATCTATCTATCTATCCATCTATCCATCTATCCATCTATCTCTCCCCCTCTCCCTCCACTAGATGGCGGTATTTTGTGACCGGCTCCGCCACTTCCTGCTTCCACCACTGGGGGGCGCTCTTCGGTCCTCGTCGCGGTGGGAGGACTCAGGCGGAAGCTCAGTTGAATGTAGCAGCCTTAGCGCGACGATGCTAAGCTAGCTGTCAGCCAGGCATCCACGGGTTTCGCTGCCGACTTTAGCCGCCGGATGCTCCGGGTCGTGTCCCGCTGGCCTTCTTGACATTCCCTCAACACTCCCGGACGAATTCGTGTCGACTGACCAGAGTCCGCGAATTCAGGTCCAGCCCCGATCGAACCTTCTCCCCCCCCCCACCCCCTCCACTCCACTCCGCCGCTAGCGTCGCTTAGCTCGCCGGCTAACGAGACTTGACACCCGGGGTCTTGCGGAGAGAGGTGAGTTAGCACACGGAGCTAGCGCGGTGTTCCGTCACCGGGTGTGAGGGCGTCTGCTCGGAGGAGGAGACACCCGGGGCTGATGTGGAGGATCGAGGCCTTCGGGTTGAAAAGTGGTCGGTAGTAAATCTGTGTGAGACCCAATGAGGCTGCCGGGCCTCTTCAGCACCGGTGCATCGTTAGCTAGCTGTCTGATTAACCTGCTAACCAGCGCCCGGGATGTTTCCCCGGTGAGCCCGAACACGTGAAGCCTTTAAAACACGCTCGTTTGGCAGCTAGCGTCGATTTCCGTTCATAAAAGAGGTACACTTGTTAAAAACCCGGTGGCGGCTGTCTTGCTCATGCTAGCTGGGTGATAACATCTGAGCTAACATTCGCGAGAAGGTTTTTTTTTCCCCCGAGCTCACGCAGCGAAGTTAAAATGTCCAAACTTGTTCAGCTCAGTGGAGCAGGTGGTTTTCCAGTCGCTGTGGTTTTGTGTGAACTGAACTCAGATCAGATCTGATGTTCTCCTCAGGAGCAGGTTTGATGGTCGCTTGTTGTTAAACTCAAGTTGTTTTTTTGTTTTTTTTATTCTGTGACTTGTCAGACTTTGAGGACCACACCCAGACAAGATGTCCCTGCACCAGTTCCTGCTGGAGCCCATCACCTGCCACGCATGGAACCGCGACAGGACACGTAAGTCTCAAAACATTCCCTCCTCTCTCTCTCTCTCTGTCCTTAATGTTCGCTCGTTCATAATTGATCTTAAATGAAGTGGGAGAGTCGTTTCTCTGCTCTCTGTTCCTCAGTGTCCTCCAGGTAAGTGGCAGATCCCAGGAAACCGGTCTGACTTGTTTGTCATCCTTTGTGTCTAACCTGCTGTTTTCACAACGTTTTGCAGAAATCGCCATCAGTCCGAATAACCACGAGGTTCACATTTACAAGAAGAGCGGCAACCAGTGGGTGAAGACCCACGAGCTGAAGGAGCACAATGGACACATAACAGGTTTGTCATTAGACTCCGGTCATGTTGAAAACAAAGTATCTGCAGGTCTGAGTCTTTGTCTGTGATGATATGAAAACTTTCATTAGATCTGATCATTCACAACAACAAGGCTGCAACTAGTTATCAATTGATTTGCAGATATTTTCTCAGATTACTTGATTCATTCATCCGTCTATTGAGTGTCAGAATATCACGAAACGTTCAATGGTCCAAATCAGCTCAAGGTCTGTCAGGAACCCAGTTCAGCTTCCTGTCACATGACAGAGAAAATTAGAGCTAATAAATGTTTCCTTTTATGCTCAAAGAGAATTGTTGATGATCAAAACAGCTGCTGGTACATTTTCTATTGATCAGCTAATCGTTGCTGACCTAAATAACGTTATCTCTTTGTATTTATTTTCTCTCTCGTCCATGTTGCAGGTATTGACTGGGCTCCCAAAAGTGACCGTATAGTGACGTGTGGCGCCGACCGCAACGCGTACGTGTGGTCCCAGAAGGAGGGCGTATGGAAGCCCACGCTGGTCATCCTCAGGATCAACCGAGCCGCCACCTTCGTCAAGTGGTCGCCACTGGAGAACAAATTTGCAGTCGGCAGTGGAGCTCGACTCATCTCTGTCTGCTACTTTGAGTCTGAGAATGACTGGTGAGTCCTGCACGGTTCATATAACGCTAGATATATATATATATATATATATAAAACTCTAGATATTGTTGCACCTTAAACTGTAGTGTGCATTATAACTATGACAAATAATTATATTTTATCATTTTTATAACCTTAACGGTTCAGTTTCCCTGTTCTAGATTGCATAATATTTTATTTAAAGCGCATTATAAAATACACATTGATTCTCCGTGTGTCTCAGGTGGGTGAGCAAGCACATCAAGAAGCCAGTCCGCTCCACCATCCTCAGTCTGGACTGGCATCCCAACAACGTCCTGCTGGCTGCTGGATCGTGTGACTTCAAATGCAGGTAAAAGTCACGAGCAATGAGAAGTGTTCTAAAACATTCTAACGGGACAAGAGAAGAACATTAAATGATTGAAATCCTGCCAACATCCTCTCTCCCTCCTCTTCTTTCTGCTCCGTTTTTGTTTCTTTTCTCTTTGCCTCCCTCCCTCCCTCCCTCCCTCCGCCCTCCAGGGTGTTCTCAGCCTACATTAAGGAGGTGGAAGAGAAACCAGGCCCCACGCCCTGGGGCAGCAAGATGCCATTTGGGGCTGTGTTAGCAGAATTTGGAGGAGCGGGTCTGTATCTCTTCATCTCTATGTGTTACAGTAAAAATCCTCTTGCGATTCACTCTCAGTAATTCTTTGCACTAAAACCATATCTGGGGTTTTTTTTTTGTGCGTGTTGTGTTTGTTAGGTGGAGGGGGTTGGGTCCACTCTGTCTCTTTCTCTGCATCTGGTAACCGCCTGGCCTGGGTCAGCCATGACAGCACTGTCACTGTGGTGGACAGCTCGAAGACTGCCAGGTATATTTATTTCCAGACACAGAGGCGTGTCAGATTAACTACCAAAAATTAATTGCAGAAATAATTTGTTTTATTCATCAAGACACAAAAGGTGAAATAGAAACTTTTACTATTGTCTATAGAGCCTGCTGTTTTGACAACTCAACAATTTTGAATATGTATTTATTTCCAGCATTTGTTGGAAGTGAGTTTCCTGTGAAATTTAAAATCCCTGTGTTTGTGTTTAGTCCTTCACAGCTGAAGACGGAGTTCCTTCCTCTCCTCAGTGTCATTTTTATCTCAGAGAACAGTTTAGTAGCAGCGGTAAGAATAACTTAGAAACGCCGTGAATACATTTTCATACTTAAAAGTGGAGGAAAGGGATTTAAAAACGTGTCGTTTCTCTTTCCAGGGCCACGACTGCTGCCCCATGCTGTTCCGTTGCGACGATGGTGGAGCGCTGACATTCGTGTCGAAGCTCGACCTCCCTAAGCAGAGCATCCAGAGGAACATCTCTGCCATGGAGCGCTTCAGGAACATGGACAAAAGAGCCACCACCGAGGACCGCAACACTGCCCTGGACACACTGCACCAGAACAGCATCACGTAGGTCGCACAGCCAAACGAATCACTGCGGGAAATTTAGAAAAATGAGTCGAGCTGCTGTTTGTTCTTGTGCTCTAAGCTCCAGGTGTAAATATTAGAGATGTTGTAAACATGGACACATCAGCATGTTTGACGTAGGCTCCTAATGGATGTACATGTTTTTTTGTTTTGTGTTTTCACTTTGTCCTTACCATCACTCTCTCGTGGCAGTTTGGTGAAGTGCTTCATGACGACTTTAAGTTTCTTCACCTCTTTTCTTTTTGAATGTCTATATTTAATCTGTTTTTGTTCCACAGCCAAGTGTCTATCTACGAGGGAGACAAAAGGGATTGTCGCAAGTTCTGCACCACAGGCATCGATGGAGCAATGACCATTTGGGATTTCAAGGTAAACACACACATTCTCTCTCACACACACACACACACACACAGATACACACAGACAGATACACACACTCCTTCTTCAGATCTTTATTTCCCCAGCTCCCTCGGCTCTAATGTGTTATTCTGCTTTCATCTCCTCAGAGTCTAGAAGCTTCTATCCAGGGTCTCCGCATCATGTGAAGAAATCTCGTGAATGAATGAAGAAACGCCGCAGCCTCACGTGTCTCCTCCCCCACCCCCTCCTCGCCCTCACCGTCATCACCCCTCCCTTCCTCCCTCCTCATCCCCTCCACTCCTGCGACGCAGCCAGTAACGTACATAACTGACCACCTAATCTCGAGTGTCTACTGAAGCACTGATCAGAGCATAACACACTGGTGGGTGTGTTCTAGCACACACACACTAAAATACACAAACACACATACACTACACACACACACACTGAGCTGACGTGTGGCATCACTGTTAATTTTTTGTTTGTTTGTTTTTTAAATGAAGGTTAACCAGGTGTCAAAGGGGGACGCTCCTCTGACACGTATTAAGCGTGACGTGAAATGTGTGTTTTTATGTTCTCTAACCTCCTGTACCAAAAGTTTGAGCACT